GTATTTGACTTTAAAACTATTGAAAATGTGATTTAAAGGAGAACCATCATAGTCCAGGATGTTTAATATTATATTTAAGTATACCCTATATTCAGCAAATATGTGTTTGTTTGTAAAGTAAAATAAAATAAAATTTGGATAATGTATTACTATATTTAAAATATACTTTATATAATTAATATGCTTGAAGGGACACTCCAGGCACCCAGACCACTTCTGCCCATTAGAGTTGTCTGGGTGCCAACTCCCACTACCCTTAACCCTGCAACTGTAAATATTGCAGTTTTCATAAACTGCAATAATTACCTTGCAGGGTTAACTCCTACTCTACTAGACAGCCACTAGAGGACACTTCCGTGTTTATAGCACATGAAAAATGTGCTATAACGTCGCTGGACATCCTCAGGTTATATGAGGACCTCCAGTGTCGCTGAAATCCCCATAGGAAAGCATTGAAAGCATTTTTCAATGCTTTCCTGTCGGGAGGTCTAATGGGCGTGCGCGGCATTGCCGCACATGAGCATTAGGTCTCCCCCGCCGGCAGCCACGCATGCTCCATATGTCTCCCCCACCGACGTCATCCAGCGGGGAAGACATATGGAGCATGCGCGGCTTCCGGCGCGGCTGAGGAGCGTGGGCGGACCCTGACCCAGCGCCGAGGGACATTGGCGCTGGATACAGGTAAGTCACTGAAGGGGTTTTAACCCTCTCAGCAACTTGGGATGGGGGGTGGGAGGGAGAGGGGACCTGCAGTGCCAGGAAAACAGTTTGTTTTCCTGTCACTGGAGAGTCCCTTTAATATGTACGCTTGATAAAAAGAAAGCAGAGACATCTGGAAGATAGACCACATGCCAGATGGAATACTAGAGCTACTAGAATTAAGTAGAATGAGGGCCATAATGAATGAAGTTTTGGAATCCATACACATAATACATTTTCCCTACTAGAACTTGACTCTGAACAAGTACGTCGAAGACAACCAAGGAAAGATGAAGACCATAACATCAGATTAAGTTAAACAAATGCTGAAAGTATTATAAGAAAGAATGGAGTAGAATACAAAGTAAATAACATCACCGACAATAGAGTACTTTAAAGTACTTTTTTATGAAGAGAAAACATAAGCAAAAAACAATTCTGAAAGAGTTAAAAGCCCTATTAACAAAGGAATTAGGATTAGGATTTATCACACAAAAGGAATATGATTTCCTGAATATCTTCTACCTAAGAAGACCAATATTCTATTTTCTTCCTAAAATCCACAAACACATAACCTCTCCCTCAGAAAGATCAATTGTTTTGAGAATATATTCTATAATATCAGATCTTTCACATTATGTGGATTTCTTATCACAAACATATGTAAGTAAAGTTAAATCACATATAAAAAATTATATTGACATCTCAAGACTCTTTGAGAACCAGACTTGGCAACAGGGCCAATACTTAGTAGCCAGTCTCTGTATACTACAAGGAGTGCAGAATTATTAGGCAAGTTGTATTTTTGAGGATTCATTTTATTATTGAACAACAACCATGTTCTCAATGAACCCAAAAAACTCATTAATATCAAAGCTGAATATTTTTGGAAGTAGTTTTTAGTTTGTTTTTAGTTATAGCTATGTTAGGGGATATCTGTGTGTGCAGGTGACTATTACTGTGCATAATTATTAGGCAACTTAACAAAAAACAAATATATACCCATTTCAATTATTTATTATTACCAGTGAAACCAATATAACATCTCAACATTCACAAATATACATTTCTGACATTCAAAAACAAAACAAAAACAAATCAGTGACCAATATAGCCACCTTTCTTTGCAAGGACACTCAAAAGCCTGCCATCCATGGATTCTGTCAGTGTTTTGATCTGTTCACCATCAACATTGCGTGCAGCAGCAACCACAGCCTCCCAGACACTGTTCAGAGAGGTGTACTGTTTTCCCTCCTTGTAAATCTCACATTTGATGATGGACCACAGGTTCTCAATGGGGTTCAGATCAGGTGAACAAGGAGGCCATGTCATTAGATTTTCTTCTTTTATACCCTTTCTTGCCAGCCACGCTGTGGAGTACTTGGACGCGTGTGATGGAGCATTGTCCTGCATGAAAATCATGTTTTTCTTGAAGGATGCAGACTTCTTCCTGTACCACTGCTTGAAGAAGGTGTCTTCCAGGAACTGGCAGTAGGACTGGGAGTTGAGCTTGACTCCATCCTCAACCCGAAAAGGCCCCACAAGCTCATCTTTGATGATACCAGCCCAAACCAGTACTCCACCTCCACCTTGCTGGCGTCTGAGTCGGACTGGAGCTCTCTGCCCTTTACCAATCCAGCCACGGGCCCATCCATCTGGCCCATCAAGACTCACTCTCATTTCATCAGTCCATAAAACCTTAGAAAAATCAGTCTTGAGATATTTCTTGGCCCAGTCTTGACGTTTCAGCTTGTGTGTCTTGTTCAGTGGTGGTCGTCTTTCAGCCTTTCTTACCTTGGCCATGTCTCTGAGTATTGCACACCTTGTGCTTTTGGGCACTCCAGTGATGTTGCAGCTCTGAAATATGGCCAAACTGGTGGCAAGTGGCATCATGGCAGCTGCACGCTTGACTTTTCTCAGTTCATGGGCAGTTATTTTGCGCCTTGGTTTTTCCACACGCTTCTTGCGACCCTGTTGACTATTTTGAATGAAACGCTTGATTGTTCGATGATCACGCTTCAGAAGCTTTGCAATTTTAAGAGTGCTGCATCCCTCTGCAAGATATCTCACTATTTTTGACTTTTCTGAGCCTGTCAAGTCCTTCTTTTGACCCATTTTGCCAAAGGAAAGGAAGTTGCCTAATAATTATGCACACCTGATATAGGGTGTTGATGTCATTAGACCACACCCCTTCTCATTACAGAGATGCACATCACCTAATATGCTTAATTGGTAGTAGACTTTCGAGCCTATACAGCTTGGAGTAAGACAACATGCATAAAGAGGATGATGTGGTCAAAATACTCATTTGCCTAATAATTCTGCACTCCCTGTATTATCAGCCACCCGAGAGATTGCAAAGTGGTACAGTCTGCCTTATATAAGGAGGGAGACATAGACAAAACATGCATTGGTCATAGATTGCATTATGTTTATATTAAAGAACAATTATTTCTGGTTTGATGACAAAATTATTTTTGCAACAACAGGGCACTGTTCCACAATTTTTTCATGGGGATTTGGGACGATTAGTATGTGTGGAATAATCATAAAGAATAAGTTTATAAAACACTCAGTATCTGCACATTTCAGTGCACATCACAACACAAATCCAGTCATACTGAAATTTAGAGCAATATTTATCAATAATGAGAACAGGAGAGGAGAAAACCCAAATATGACATTTGGACAATTAGACATGTGATGGTTGTTCCAATGAAGTACTTTAACCCCAGCAAATATACTTACCCACCTCTGGAACTTTATTTCCTATATACTACACTATATTATTTTATCTCTCATCCATTTTATATATATGGGACATCTTATAAGGAACAGCTACCGGATGCACAGAACTACACTATATCCTTAGGCATCAATCATACCGTCCAAACACAAAAGTGGGAGCTGAATTTTAGCTCCTACAAAGTGTAAGTGCACATCTTATTCCTTATTTATAAAAATGAAAAAAAGAGACTTACTACACGATCTACCTTTGCTCTGTCTATTTATGCCATTCCATAAAGCCTCTAAGGACATTTAAGACTCTCCACCTACTCTCATGTTTTAGCTGACGTTTGTTCAACTGGATAAGAGAGACTTGGTTGTTGAGCTGCCAATTGGACTATATCCATAACTATCCAAGTACTGAATTCCTTTTTTAATCTCATATTGTATGTGCTGTATAGGTACTGTGGCAACCCAGCCAACTAAAAGCCATTATGATTACATAAGCTCATTCTTTTTCATTCTTCTATTTTTATTGTAGATTTCTATTTTTATTGAAGATTTATTTTTTCTCTTTTTTCCTCTTTTTTACCTTTTCTTATGTCCTTAATGTTTGATATCAGAAGTGACAAGCTCTCCCTTCTATCTATTTGTTATATGTTTCTATAAATGACTATAATGAATTATACAAGAAGAAAAAAGAAAATCCAGCTCACTCCCTTATCCACTAAACAGCAACTTCAGTGCTGACAGATTTGGTTAGTTTTTTAAAAACAACTAATCTAGGAAAAAAATAATGGGGGTTTAGTCACATTATATGATCATACACTGCACAAGCCTGCCACAACGTAAGTGTACCCCATTTTTGGCAGGTCCTACACTAACAGCCTAATGTCTGCTTCATGAGCTACTTACTTGGGGGAAAAAAATCCATCTAGAGTTCTCTGCAGTAAAAGGCTAAATAGGGCCCTGGGATGAGGCACCTGTGACAGGGAGGGGTACGAAGCCAAGGAGTTGGCTAGACTCCCAAATATATATATATATGAGAAAAAAGGGGTAAGGGTTAGAGCTAGGGTTAGGGGTAGGGTTAGGGCTAGGGTTAGAAGTAGGGGGTAAAGGTAGGGTTAGGGTTAGGGTTAGGGAATTGCCAAATTCCTGAATTTCAGAAGTGCAGAACCAAAATTTTTGCCCATGCACATCCCTAGTCCCTTACTGTCATAAAAGCTCCCTATGAGAATGTTATATGGTACATGCCTAGAATTCTGTAAATAGAGAGGTTTACAAACATAGAAACTCTTGTCATAGTTCCAAAAACAGGAGCCATTGTCTCTGAATCAGCCACTACTAGTACAGCTGTCTAAAATGGTACTAATGCCAAATATAATGTCAAGTTGACTAAACATTTAATGAAACTGACAGTCTGGTGATTGAAAAAAAGAACAAAGTAAATCCTTCTTACAAAACACAAACAGACTATTCTTTGTTATTTTTTTTTCTGCAGATACAGCATAGAAGCTAGCCCATAAAAGGCTTGCTTACTAGCCACAGAGCTGGTCTCAGCATTCACCGCAAGAATGGGAAAGGTAACACGCTATGAAGACCTAAGATAATAAATAATAAATCCAATAGCATGTACAGACATGCAAAACAAATGATTCCAGTAGCTTTATCTGGATATTGCAATACACATAGCGCTCCCAGATATGTCTGGACATTACCAGGTTCTTATTAGAGTCTTGCATTCTTTTCAACATAATGCCATGATAATATAGCAGTTTATTCACTACACTGGGACTTGTCAAGAATTAAATTTACACTTTGGATAATAAACCCCATAGTACCTTCTGGTCTCTTAAGAGAAATATCAAGTACAAAATAAAAAAATGCAAAAAATTACAATAGATTTTAATATTAAAATAGTCGTAGTAAAAAAGAAAAAAAAAAGAAAGATAAAGCCACTACATCATTTTCAATTAGAAGTAATATTACATAATTCATATTTATATTATTATATGAAATAATAATATTAAAATGTAAAACAAGCACAACAATTATAAACATTTGGAAAATGTAAAATAGGTAGAGATAAGGAAATATAAAAATATCATTCAATTTGAACAATAGTTAATGTATCAAACTGATCCACGAAAAGCATATCTAATATTTACTTTCTAAGCAATATTTATATATAGGGTAGTGGATGCATGGAATGGCCTTCCAGCTGAAGTGGAAGAGGTTAACACAGTGAAGGATTTTAAGCATACGTGGGATAGGCATAAGGCTATCCTAGCTATAAGGTAAGGCCAGGGACTAATGAGAGTATTTAGAAAATTGGGCAGACTAAATGGGCCAAATGGTTCTTATCTGCCATCATATATTGTGTTTCTATGTTTCTATATCTGGCATGCTGTCAAACTGAGCTTAAACTAACTTTTGTTTCGATTGCAGATCATTTTCTACGAGGACAGAAAGTTCCAGGGTCGTTCCTACGAGTGCAGCAATGATAATCCAGATCTGCAGTCTCACTTCAATACCTGTAACTCTGTCCGTGTAGAGAATGGCTGCTGGATGCTCTACGAGCGCCCCAATTATACAGGGAACCAGTACTTCCTAAAGAGAGGGGAGTATCCAGATTACCAGCAATGGCAAGGTCTCAATGACTCCATCAGGTCATGTCGCTTGATTCCAGAAGTGAGTGATATGGTTTTTTATGTAACAGTCATTGTATTATTATACTTATATATAAAATGGAACATACACAGTTTGCATGCTTCTAATCATTTTTCATCAATAACCTCTTCATAGCATATTATACTAAGTCAATTAAGTGCTACATGCCTATGTATCATTCTTTTTGATGACTTACCCTAAGCTTCATCATCCTTCAAGATGACCACTAGTAGTAAGTATATAATGCCAACATATTCTACAACACTTCACAATTACAGAAAGTAGATATCTGACATACAGAGACAAGAGGCGACGAAGGCCCTGGTCAAAGAAACTTAAAATTTATGACGATGATATTGTTAGGTGCCTTGCCCAGGGACACTTACTGGTAAGGTGTTCTGACCAGAATTTGAGTGTGGATTTCCTGGTTCAAAGGCAGTGATGTTATCTCTAACCAGGTGATATAAGATGTAAGATTTGTTGCAAAACATCTCTACAGGGTTATTCACTAAGCTCTGAATGTTCATGAATGAAATATGAATGGAAATACTGAAGCAAAAATAGTTGATCTGGAATAATTCTCCAGCTAAGTCATAGTCGCAACTTGGCTTTTTTTGACTCTGCTTTGCCATTTGAATATAATTTGCAAAACTTCTGAATTTAGTGAATAAGCTTGCCTCGATACTAACTGTTCATTTTGGGCCAGTCACATGCCAGGTTCATCACGATAAAGTGATATTTGCCTGACTAGGCCCAGAAGGGGATAAATATTAATCATGGGGAATTGGGTGCGTAGTTTCATTGGTGGTTGGTGGTTTTGTACAATTATAATTTTGTATTTTCAAAAGTTGTAAACCATTAATCTTCTTTAAAATCACAAATAATTAGTGAGCCAATAAAACAATTAATGAAGTTAAATGGAGAATATTAATAATTATAATTAAGTAGTGCATGTCAATGTATATATATATATAAATAAATAAATAAATAAATAAATAAACATATAAAGATAGCACATCAGGGACTAAGAAGTGCACAGAGGATCAATGTTTCAGTTCTTCTTCAGTTCAGTGCCTACTTTCCTTTACGTATATTTCAAGATAGGTAAATATACAGCCACACAAACACACACACAGTTTTAAATGAGTGGAAAAATATGTATATAACAAATGTGTCTGAGAATTAAATTAATTATGCAAGTTAATAACTGATCTCAGAGGGTAGCAAGTAAGTATTTGAAATATATTGATAAATTCAGAGGCAAAAATCATCAGTAGACTTAAGAGCACCTAATTTTGATTCTAATATGACATTAAAATCAATGTATTGTGTTATGTTTGTATAAATTACATTAGGTTTTTGAATTTATTTTCTTTCTTTCTTGTTTTCACAGCATCTGGGATCAAGTGCCCATAAAATAAAGGTTTATGAACGAGATGACTTCAAAGGAGAAATGATGGAGTTTTTGGAAGATTGCCCTAATGTTTACGATCGTTTCTGCTCCCATGATATTCATTCTTGTAACGTACTTGATGGTCACTGGATCTTCTATGAGCTTCCAAACTACAGGGGGAAGCAGTACCTCTTGAGACCTGGGGAATATAGAAGATTCACTGACTGGGGCTCCCTGACCACCAAGGTTGGCTCCTTCAGACGTGTCCTGGAACCTTATTAACAATGTCTGTGTTAATAAAAGCACTGGAAACATACTGATGTGTTTCTTTTCATTTTAATAAATAAACAAAAATTAACTATAAAATAGTAAAAAAAAAATCTATCATTACTAACGTGTTGTGTTGACTTGAGAAATGACTTGCAAAATGTATGACAAAACAGGAATGGCTCAACTGGAGAATTTTCTAATGTATTTTAACCTAAATTTGTATTTTGCCAACTAACTGCAATTTGCAATTTTGTAAGTAGACCTCTAGATAAAAATATATCTATATAATTGATGATAAAAACTAGGGTCATAAAAAAATATAGGATTCTGAAATCATAGTTAAATCGTTAACATTTCACTGGCATGAGATCATAATGACACCCATAATACATATTTTCTTCTGGTTGCTGCAATACTTCATTTCATGGTAACTAATATAAGACTTGCAAAATATAATCACCCAGAGAACTTAACTGAGGTCTGACAATGTTAACTCCAGCCATTAAATGACTTGTGAACAGAGTTTGAAAATCCTCAGCATTGTTTCTTGTGGTTCAAGTTAAATTATTAGGAAATTATTTTTTTCTCTCATTTGATTGAAAGCCACACATTTATTCGTATTGTATATCACCTGTAGATTGATGCCATAGTAGAATAATGTACTATGAATGATGACGTACACGTTAAATTATCATGCTTTTAGATGCATGTATGTATGTATTTTATAATAAATAATTACTAACTAATAGTTACATATGCTGAAAGTAGCTGAAAGTGCTTTCTAATTTTGCAACATACTAGGAAAAAAATCCTTCTTGACCCCAGAATAGCAGTCAGATCTCTCATTGGATATTCATCCAGTTACTGTTTAAAAATATGTACATATTATGATAAAAAAAAACGCCTCTGCAGGCAGAGTTTTCGCCATTGTTCTAAAACCCTTTAATTTCCCTTAGACTAAATCTCCCAACTTCCAATCTAAATGGGTGAAGTCTTGTCCTAGGTATTAATGTTTATAAATAAATTTATATTGGTCCTGAATAATTTGTACAATGTTTTAATATCCTCTCTGAGGGCTGTTTTTCTAAACTAAATTTGTTAACCTTTCTTTGTAACTGAAATTTGATCAATTCCTTTTTCTAATGCCATATACAGGCCCGGAATGGCTATCGGGCAAACCAGGACAAATGACCAGTGGGCCACGATGACCATGGACCTAGGCCGGCATAGAGATCCTCCTATCTCCCCTGCTGGCCCATGCAGAGCCGGCACTATACAAGTGCCAGCCCTGCTGTGTGCCATGATGACTGGTGGATAGCAAAGATCTCCCTTACTGGTCCACAGGCAGAGAAAACCGTCAGAGGAGGAAGGAGAGGAGGACCCGGGAGCTCTTGTCTGCAGTTCCATTGGGTCCTGAAGGTTCCTCTCATGAGTTAAGAGCATTGTCATGGTAATGCTCCAACAGGCTGGATCTCATAAGAGTGAACTGCAGGTTAGAGTTCACTAACCACCGGATCACCAGAGCTTCACAACCTGACCACCAGGGCTTGAGCAAAGTATCCTCTCTCTGAGCAAAGGTAAGAAGGGAGAGGGAAATATAACTTTTATATTTAAAATTAATTTAAAAAAATCTTTACTCCCATCTGCCCCCCCCCACACAATACCTCCCAACACATTCACACACATCACCTCTCACAAACACACACACACACTGCACAACTCACACACACACACATTGCATCCCTTACACAAACACGCACTGTACTGCTCACACACTAACACTGCATCCGTCACACACATTTATACTCCACCCATCACACACACATATTGCATCCCTCACACACACTGTACCCTTCACACACATACATTGCATCCCTCACTCACACACACTGCACCTCTCACACATATACACACCACTGGCGGATCCAGAGCCTTATCTCGGGAGGGGCACTCATAGATTATTTAAAGAAACAATCAAGGCACAATAACCACTGCAGCTCTCTGTAGTGGGTATGGTGCCAGGAGTGCTGTGGTGCCCTCCCAGAGTAAATAGTCAAACTGTTTGACAATTTACCTGGGGTCTGCCAAGATATGGTCTGTAGTAGGGGACAGGGCCTCTAGTAATGTGTGTGTGATTAGGCAGTGTGTGTGTGTGTGAGTGTGTGCATGGGAGGCAGTGCATGTGTGAGGGGTGCAGTGTGTGTATGTGTGACAGTGTGTGTATGAGGGTGCAGTGGGAGCAATGTGCGTAGGAGGGTCAGTGTGTGTTTATGTGAGGGGTGTAATGTGTGCATGGGAGTGCAGTGTGTATATGTGGAGTGCAGTGGGAGTACTGTGTTTCGGGGTGCAGTGTTTGTGTGGGGGAGCACTGTGTGTATGGGGTTCTAGTGTTTGGGGGGAGAAGTGTGTGTGGGGATGCAGTGTTTGTATGGGGGAGCACTGTGTGTATGGGGAGAAGTGTGTGTGGGGGTGCAATGTGTATTGGGGAGAAGTGTGTGTAAGGGGGTACAGTGGGGGCAGTGTGTGAATGGAAGAGAAGTGTGTGTATGGTGGTACAGTGAGGGAAGTGTGTGTATGGGGGTGTAGTGGGGACAGTATGTGATAGATTATGTATGGGGGTGCAGTGGGGTAGTGTGTGATGGATTATGTATGGGGTGCAGTGGAGCAAGTGTGTGTGGTGGGGCAGTGTGTATATGGGGGGGCTGTGGGGGCAATGTATATATGTGGGGGCAGTGTGTGTGGTGGGACAGTGTGTATGTGTGGGTGCTGTGTATATGGGGGTCTGTGGGGGCAATGTGTGTGGTGGGGCAGTGTGTATATGTGGGGGATATAAGGATTTTCAAACTCTGTTCACAAGTCATTTAATGGCTGGAGTTAACATTGTCAGACCTCAGTTAAGTTCTCTGGGTGATTATATTTTGCAAGTCTTATATTAGTTACCATGAAATGAACATGCAACATCGACTACACAAAAACACACTCTGCAATCACTATACACTCAGTACATCTACTACACAAACACAGACTCTGCAGTTACTATACAAACACACACTGCGCATTCACAATACATAGAAACATAGAATGTGACGGCAGATAAGAACCATTCGGCCCATCTAGTCTGCCCAATTTTCTAAATACTTTCATTAGTCCCTAGTCTTATCTTATAGTTAGGATAGCCTTATGCCTATCCCACGCATGTTTAAACTCCTTTACTGTGTTACACATTTAGCAGTCACTATACACACACTATATCCACTTCACAAACACACACTCTGCAGTCACTATACACTGACTACATCCACTACACAAACACATGCTCTGCAATGACTATACACACTCTGCAGTCATTATACACACTGCATCTAATACACACAAACACTACATCCACTACACAAACCCACACTCTGCAGTCACTATAGAAACTCAGCAGTCACTAAACACATGCAACATCGACTACACAAACACACACTCTGCAATCACTATACACTCAGTACATCTACTACACAAACACAGACTCTGCAGTTACTTTACAAACACACACTGTGCATTCACAATACACACTCAGCAGTCACTATACACACACTACATCCACTTCACAAACACACACTCTGCAGTCATTATACACTGACTATATCCACTACACAAACACATGCTCTGCAATGACTATACACACTCTGCAGTCATTATACACACTGCATCTAATACACACAAACACTACATCCACTACACAAACACACACTCTGCATTCACTATACACTCACTACATCCACTACACAAACACACACTCTGCATTAACTATACACTCACTAAATTCACTATAAAAACACACTCTGCATTTACTATAAACACACCTATATTCACTACACAAACACACACTCTACATTTAATTCACACAAAAATTACATACATTACACAAACATACCATATGCATCCTCAATACACACTGCATCTATGACTCACATACCACATCAACTTTAAACATGCACTCTGCACCCACTACACAAATTCTACATCCACTATACACACACCACATTCAGTACACACACACACACACACACACACACACACACAACTTCATCCTTGTGTGTAGACTCAGGAGAGGCCCCTCTAGGCAGACTCGGGGGCCCAGCTGTGTCAGGAGCTCCAACATTTCTGATGGCAGCCCTGCAAATCAGTATAGTGCATATGTACTCTTTACCCAGCAAATTGTGTACACTTTACAAAGTGGATAGATTCCTCAGGACTCCCCCTAATCCACTTTTGGCAACTAACATAAACAAAACAAAATATTTGAGGATACAGTAAAGGAGCCATTCAGCAGCAATATATTATGTTAAGTAAATATTGTAATCACAATCTTGCTCATAAAGAGGGCCTTGAATAATAAAAGGTTTTATTCCTTCACAATCCAGATGACATTGGCCAAATTTCATGTGAGAATTGCCTTGATAAAAACATAAGGATATTGAGTGATACCAATCACTTAAACTCAATAACACATTTTTAAAATCATAAAATAAGCACATATTGAAATATCAACAGTAACAGCAACCTATGCCTGTTAACCCTATAGGACTGCAGTGCTATAGAAAATTAAGTTAAATATATTCATGATTGGTTGAACCACATTCTGATTTTTAAAGAGATTTTGTAGAAGCTTCAAAGAATTTTGGTTTGCACCAAATGTAGGAACTTGAACGGTATATTGTTTTTGCATACATTTGTTTAATATATCATCTACATAAAAAAAAAAAAAATCTATTCTAGTCCTGATCATTCTTTTTATTGCTTGTTACATTTTGAATCACATTATTTTCCAACCAAAACAGTTTTGATCTGCAAATGTTAATTTGGAGTCTATATTTAGTTTTGTGATACAAGACGTATTTTGTATTGGGTTCAGTAATGTAATTTGCAGTAATGTATTGCTTATACGAGGGCAACATTTGATCCACAAATAGACTTTTGTTAAGACTTTTTATAACTGGTATATAAAACACTCATAGTAGGTTCTTCAGGAAAAAAAACACCCCTTAAAGGACCACTATAGTGCCAGGAAAACATACTCGTTTTCCTGGCACTATAGTGCCCTGAGGGTGCCCCCACCCTCAGGGACCCCCTCCCGCCCGGCTCTGGAAGGGGAAAGGGGTAAAAACTTACCTTTTTCCAGCGCTGGGCGGAGAGCTCTCCTCCTCCTCTCCGCCTCCGTTACGCCCCGCCGGCTGAATGCGCACGCGCGGCAAGAGCTGCGCGCGCATTCAGCCCGTCGCATAGGAAAGCATTTACAATGCTTTCCTATGGACGCTAGCGTGCTCTCACTGTGATTTTCACAGTGAGAAGCACGCAAGCGCCTCTAGTGGCTGTCAATGAGACAGCCACTAGAGGATTAGGGGGAAGGCTTAACCCATTCATAATTATAGCAGTTTCTCTGAAACTGCTATAATTATGAAAAAATGGGTTAACCCTAGAAGGACCTGGCACCCAGACCACTTCATTAAGCTGAAGTGGTCTGGGTGCCTAGAGTGGTCCTTTAAGTCTTGTATTGCTTGCCATCTAGTGGTCAAAAAATGAAACCACTTTTTTTGTTTTATAAACATGTATACAGGAACAGTTTTACCAAGACAATATGAGACCACTTCCAGAACAAAATGTTGCTCAAAATTGTATGGAGTCTAAACTAAGATTTATAGCAAGCTAAAATTATAATAAATATGTTGGTTAAAATAGTCAAATATCTGATCAGGAAACAAATTCCAATTCAGTTATAATCACATTTTTGTTATTTTAGTCTACATTTTGCTTTTTGGATTTCAATTTGCTAAAATTCAAAGTATAGTAAATAGACATTTATCAGGGTTATTTATTAAAATGAGCATTAATTCAAAGTATATTCAATGTGAATTTCAAATGCAAAAGCCAAAGTAGGCAAACTGGAATAATGGCTGACTTGATGATGAATGATAAATATGATAAATATGAGTAGACTTATACACTGTGGAACAATTTGGTTCAGACAAATCAGTTCATCCCAAAAAAAGAAAAATGTTTGGGACCAAATTTTGTTCATGTGGCTCAGGCAACTGTCAAGTTTGCAATAATTTTGCAAAGACATGAGGCGTGAAAAGATGGAAGAAAATTACAATAAATGTACTGCAAAATATAGTTACATAGTTACATAGGCTGAAAAGAGACATGTGTCCATCAAGTTCAGCCTTCCTCACATTTGTTTTTTTGCTGATGATCCAAAAGAAGGCAAAAAAAAAAAAACAGTTTGAAGAACTTCCAATTTTTCAACAAACTAGGAAAAAAGATTATTGACCCCAGAATGGCAGTCACACTTATCCTTGGATCAAGAAGCTATTAATCTACATTGAAAAATTATATAATTGAGTATCCTGTTTTTGCAAGTATGGATCTAGTTGCTGTTTAAACATCTGTAAGGACTCTGATAAAACCACTTTTTCAGACATACAACTCCATATACTTATTGTTCTTCTGGTAAAAAAAAAAACCTTTCCTTTGCCTAAGACTAAATCTTCTTTCTTCCAGTCTAAACGCATGACCTTGTGTCCTTTGTAAAGTCCCGTTTGTGATTAGATTTCCACACAATGGTTTGTATTGGCCCCAGATATATTTGTATAATCTTATCATATCCCCTCTGAGGTGACGTTTTTCTAAACTAAAGAGGTTTACATTTGTTAACCTTTCTTCATAGCTAAAATGTTCAATTCCATTTATTAATTTTGTAGCCCGCCTCTGCACTCTTTCTAGTGCCATAATATCCTTCTTTAGAACAGGTGCCCAAAATTGCACAGCATATTCAAGATGTGGTCTTACCAGCGATTTATAAAGAGGCAAAATGATATTCTCATCCTGAGAATTAATGTCCTTTTTCATGAAAATACCTTACTGGCCTTAGCCACTGCTGACTGACATTGCACATTGTTGCACAGTTTGTTGTCTATAACAATTCCCAAGTCCTTCTCGTGTGTTGTTATCCCTAATTTGCTTCCATTAAGGGTATGAATTGATTGTGCATTCTTTACACCAAAGTGCAAAACTTTGCATTTTTCTACATTCAATTCATCTGTCATTTGAGTGCCTAGTCCACCAGTCTATCCAAATCCTTCTGCAGCAAAGTGATATCACATTGTATTAGTTTACAGAGTTTTGTGTCATCTGCATACACAGAAACATGACTTTCAGTGCTTTTTTTCAACATCATTTATAAACATGTTAAATAGAAGGGGTCCTAGAACAGACCCCTGAGGGACACCACTTGCCACCCCTGTCCAGCTTGAAAACTCTTTGTACTCTATTTTTAAGCAATGTTTTACCCAACAACAAGAATTCTCATCTAGACCAATTTCTTTGAGTTTGAACACTAATCTATTGTGTGAAACCGTATCAAATGCCTTGGCAAAATCATAGATCACTTCTACTGCAACACCCTGATTTATACTTCTACTTGCTTCTTCATAGACTGTAATCAAGTTAGTTTGACATGACCTATGTTTCATAAAACCATGCTGATTTTTGCTGATAACTATGTTCTTTTCAAGGGATTCTTGAATATTATCCCTTAAGCTTACAGGTCTATGATTTCCAGGCAAGGATTTTGAACTAGACATGTGCAATTCGTTTCGGTCCGAATGTGAATTCGGATGAATTTCAGGCAAAAATCGGACATTCAGGTGCTTCCGAATGTCCGTATAGATGAATTGCCAAGTTGCCGAATTGTCGAAGTTCCGAAATGACTGAATTTCCAAAGTGTCAAAGTGCCAAAGTATTGAAGTTCCAAAGTATTGAAGTTCCAAAGTTCCAAAGTACAGTATTTCCTAAGAACTAATATACTTATCCAGTGGAAGAATGAAGAATGTTACACTGTATACAATTTTAAATAAAAAGTATACAAACATAGGCAGGATTCAGCTGTAAGCATTTGCTATACCGCGAGTAGGGGCATGTCTATTAAACAGTGAGCAGCCACAGGCTGCTCAATTTAACCCCCCCCGCCCCGGGGCTTCTAACCTGAAGGGGGGACCTATTGCCCCCTCAGGCTCCCACCCCAGAACAGCGGGTGGGGGCCCTACAGTAAAATAAGGGGGGGGACCTATTGTCCTCCCACCCGGCCCACACCCCTGAGCTGCAGGTGGGGGCCCTAAAGTAAAATAATGGGGGGGGACCTATTGTCCTCCCCCGGCCCCCACCCCTGAGCGGCGGCTGGGGGCCCTAAATTAGAATAAGGGGGGACCTAATGTCTTCCCTCCGGCCCCCACCCCTGAGCAGCGGGATGGGGCTCTAAATATTAATAAGGGTGGACCTGATGTCCCCCCCCCCCCTGCCTCACCCCTGAGTGGTGGGTGGGGGCCCTAAATACTAATAAGGGGGGGACCTAATGTCTTCCCCCCTGGCCACCACCCCTGAACAGTGGGTGGGGGCTCTAAATACTAATAAGGGGGGGACCTGATGTCCTCGCCCCTGGCCCCACCCCTGAGCAGTGGGTGGGGGCCCTAAATACTAATAAGTAGGGACCTAATGTCCTCCCCTCTGGCCCCCACCCCTGAGCGGTGGGTGGGGGCCCTAAATACCAATAATGGGGGGGCCTATTGTCCTCCCCCCCTGGCCCCCACCCCTGAGCGGCGGGTGGGGGCCCTAAATAAAAAATTAAACCCCCTCCCCCAGGTGACTATGGGTCCCCAAACCCCTAATCACCCCCCTCCCAAAAAAGAAACTAACCCCTACCTACCCCCTCACCCTAAAAATAATGAGGGGAGGCATTAACTAAGTACCTGTAAAAAAACTAAAACTTACCATTTGATGTTTTCTTTCTTCTAAAATCTTCTTTTTTCAGCCCCAAAAAAGGCCAAATAAAAAATCCATAATAACCAATGCAAAAAAAAAAAAACAAGCGAAAAAAAAAAATCCTTCTTCACCCATGGAGGGCTCTGCGCAGACTGAGCTCTGCAGGGCGGGGGAAGGCTTAAAAAGCCTTGCCCCACCCTGCAATTAGGCTCAGAGCACTCTGATTGGTGGGTTTAAGCCATCCAATCAGAGTGCTCTGACAGGTAAATGAAGAGACTGACAGGCAAGCACTCTGATTGGTTGGCTTGAAATCCACCAATCAGAGTGCTCTGTGTCATTTTACATAGCGTGGGAAAGTTCTTTGGAATTTTCCCACGCTGTGTAATTTGACTCAGCTCTCTGATTGGTGGATTGAAAGTAACCAATCAGATAGTTATGAGTCAAATTACACAAATGGTAAGTTTTATTTTATTTGTTTTACAGGTACTTAGTTAATGGTCCCCCCT